TAATGATCCTGATGATGATGATGATGATGATGGTGGTGGTTGGTGATAGTAAGAGCAGCAATGATGATGATCGTGGTGCTAGATACTATATATAACGATAGTAACACAGATCTGAAATCTCGTTGGCTCTGTAAAAGCCCGTGAGTTATGACGGAAGCAGGTAGCATCTGTTGTTTCTGACTCGTGTTGCTCGGTTTCTTTCCAAAGAACTGCCGGCAGCAGGAACTGGAAGACACTGCACCTATCCGGCCCAGCTTCGGCAGCCGCTGCCAAGTGACCGACGGACTGTGCAAGTGCGACTGCCGGTGGCATGAACTAGTCGTGTAGCCCAAGCTCACGAAATCTCGCAACACTCGCTTATCTTGCATCCTGTGATTACTGGTGTTAGCTCGGCCGGTGACTGCCGGCTATGTCTGCCGCTCAGGCAGCCTGTTCAGTTCCGCCCGAGCATGCTATGGAGTCACACGTTGATGCTGCATGCCCCAGCCACGGAAATCATGACGGCTCAAGTTTGAGGGTGTGGAGACAGTTTTGGTGTAAGGGCAACCACACAAGTCTCCACTTATCCGTCAACTCAGGTCAACACCCCAAAAGCATCCTACCCATTACTTCCACGTTGCTGTCTTTGTTTGGTGGGAACCTGTTGTTTTGTGGATTCGGAGACGAGTGTGGTAGCTCGTGCTGTATATAGTTCTTTAGATACTTGCAAGAATGGCAATCGTTCCAATTCAGGGTGAAGGAGCTGTGAAGGCCATTTCCAACAAGGAGCAGCGAGACCAACAGAAAGGTCGTGGACATGGTGGCAAAGGTGCAGGCCAACATCGTCCGAAGAGACAACAAGGCAATCGCAGTAGCATTCGCAAGCCTGTCCTAGCACTCTGCAAAGTGACCCGTGCCGATGCTGCGGGGGAGGCCACTGAGGCCTTACAAGCCGCACTTGTTGAAGCCGAGCGTGGCAGCGAGCCAGTGGACGGAGGACTCCTGGGAATGGCCGCTGCCCAGGCTGGTCGGCTCGGCCTCAAAGACCTGCTTGCCTCGCTTATGGCCTACTCTTGGCCAAGACTTTCCTCTTGTGGTGGACGCGAAGTTGCCGAGTTGGCGGCCGCTGGCAGCAAATGCGGCTGTGACGATGACAGGTTCTTCTACTTCGTGGCTACGTACTGCAGCCAGAACCCTAGTGCATTCACCTGCCTCCGGGATGTGGCACTGGTCGCTGCGGCACTCACACCGAAGCTGGATTCACAGGTGGAGCTGTGTAAAGATTCCAAAACCCGATCCCGGCTGTGTAGACGCCTTATTATAGGCTTTATGACTTTATATGGGTGTGTCAGGGGTCTCTCACGCTTCAGCAGCAGAGATACGTAGTAATCAACAGCAAGTGGGAAGGATCTGGCAATTAACATGTACGTCGAGTCAGAAGCCCATCACGACCTGAGCTGTGCATTATAACTCTTCTCTAAGGAACTCCAAGAAGGTTTTAAATCGAGCCCGCAGGTGAACCTTGGAGCCGCCTTCTACGGCCTCTCCAGGGTGGCCTTGCAACACTTGCAGGGCCAGCTGACGGGCCAGCCCATTCGGGACATTGCCGAGTTCTTCTACTCGCTTATGAATGTCTTGGGCATGCCCAACAATGCAGGCCTCTGCAATGAGGACCTGGTGAAGGAAGTCATCGTAGCAATCGCCTCGGCTGTTCGGCGTTTCCTCCATACTGCTAGCGGGCAAGATATTGCAAAGGCCACTGGTGCAACATCGCTTGGGTGGACGCTGCTGCCTCTTTTGCAGGACACTGTTCTGGGCCCTTTGTTGAAAGAGCTGGCACAGGCAATCCGTTTCCGCCATGCAGACTTCAACGCCCAGGACTTGGCGCAGCTCAGCGTCTCGTTCGCCCGAGTGGAGGGCTTTCCGGACTTCGCGACCTCCCTGCCGATCCTAGTCGACAAGGTTTGCGAACGCATGGGGACCTTCAGCTCCAAGGACCTGAGTTTGGTCCTTTGGTCTGCTTCCCGTCACACCTACCTCGCAGACAGATGCGCGACACTTGCATCCAAAGAAGTGATGAGGCGAGACCTCACAGGCTTCTCTGCGCAGGACCTGTGTATGACTGCCCAATGCTTGGCCAAACTGGGCAGCAGAGGCAAGGCAGCACTTTGCTTGGTCGCGGGCCAAGTCTTTCAGAGGCAGGCGAGAGGCTTGTCGACCACGGACAAGGTGCTGTTTCTGTGGGCTCTGGCGAAGTGTAAAGTCATGCATCTTGCCCTTTGCCGGCTCATCGTTCGGGACCTCGCAGTCGAAAATTGCAGTCGTCTGCAGAGAGACAAGGTGGGCCTCGCGCTGTGGTCCCTGGCAGTCGTCTGGCAGTCGCTTCCGCAGTCAGATTCTTGGGCAAGGCTTTTGGCGTCCACCCTTCTTGCTGCGCAGCCGTGGCAGATGGCTCCAATCTACGAGGTCACAAATGATGCCTGGGCCTTTACCCAGCTTCCGGCAGATCTCACCAGCATGATGTGGCCATCGCTCCTCTCGTCAGCAATGCAGATTACTCCTAGCAGCCTTTCACAGCACGAGCTCTGCAACTTGCTTGCCGGCCTGTCACGCTGTCCGAAGCAGGTGATCCTCTGTCAGGAAGTGTTCACATCCTTCGCGAGCGAATTGGTGAGCCGCCTGCAGGCGCCGAATGGGCCACCAACGACGTCTGAGCACGACAGGCGGCTCCTGGCTGCAACGCTTGCTAACCAGCCAGAGAACTGGAGCTACCTCAGCAAAAGTGATGTAGAATCGGTGCAAGCCTTTGTCTCTGCGAGTGAAGCCAGGTCCCAGGACGTTCCGGACGCATCGGAGGCATCCGGGCCAGCTCATGAGACTCCATCGCCCGATCCGGAGGCAGAGACCCCCTGCAAGGAGGAGGCCGAGGAGGGCACCTACCAACAGACAGAGGAGGCCCCACAGCCACCAGAGCCAGAGACAGAGAGACCCTTCGAGAAGGCCGATGGGAGCTCCTTCGAAAGAAAGAGAAAGGAGACGGAGGCCACCGACGTGCCAGAGTCAGATCCGGGCGATGGCTGGTGTCCACAAGTTCTCGAGGAGCGCGACACAGACTCATCTGTGCCCGGCACATCGGAGCTCAGTCTTCTACATTTGAACTCCCAATGCAACTACAAAGGCCATTGTGTGCAGCTGAAGCACACTTTCATCCACATAGATTGCCCGGAGGAGAGCGATTCGGAGGAAGACTGTATGATCTGCAACATGAATAGGAACGCGCGCCGCAGGCGTGCTCAATCGGCCGATGGACGAGACCTAGTTGCTTGCGGCAGCACTTCCGTCCCACCCATCCCCGTAATAAACGATCCCGACATGGAGCGCGAGATCTTGGAGCGCCATCAGCATCGGGTCGAGAAGCGACGCATGAAATGGGGATCGGTGCCAAACTGTGACTGCATGCCTTCATTACAGCTGCAGTGATCTGGGTGCAAGCGAGACAGCAGTGAATCAGTGGCGATGGCTTCTCCGAAACACCTCTTGGGTGCCTATACTATACAATATATAGCATGTAACATGCAATATACACCCTCTGTATCTTCACCAAAGCATCTCTCCTCACCACTGTTTCGAATGTTCTGGCGGAAGCTGGCCAAGCCCAGCTGAATGCTTCAAACGACCGTTACGACAAGTTGGGTAGGTAAACTAAATAAAGCAAGATGGCTTGAATGTGCTACAGTGCTACAGTACTCTAAGTAATTAATAACAACGCAGTGATACTAATTGTACAATATTACTATGATACGTTGATGCTATCATCGGAGCTTGAAAGATCGGTCCATCTTGGAGCTCTTGGAAGCACATGCTTCGTGGCAGCACTGTCGCTGAAATCACAGGGGCAGAGCTGCATCTCTGAGGGGTGAGTCGAAACGAGGGGTGGTTCTCACCATGCACGGAATTTGAGCTCTTGTTTGCATCAACCACAGCCGCAGCCTGCTGGCAAAGATTAATCCTGTTGCCTGACCCGTTTGCCTGTCGGTCGTGAAAGGAATAATTTTCACATGCAGGCCGGCCAGCCGAGATCGAAAGGAGGGAAAGTGCCGTCGGTACCACCAAGGTTGTGTACAGCGTGCGACATGCATCGACATGCACAGGTATCGAGGGGAGATTGGCAGTGGTGTATGGGTTGCCACTGTTTGCACGAGCGGTAGATTCCAGGAGGTTGAAAGATCTCAATGTGCTGGAAGAAACGGTCGGGTCGAGTCCCTCCTGGTTACAGGCAGTTGGCTGTTGATATTTTGCTACTGCATGCTTTCTTGGAAACTGATGGAAACAGGCTCGAATCATGCTTCTGCCATGCTTAGCCTAGGTCTCCTGTGCTTAACTCTTGCTACGTGCGTCCTTGCATGAACCTGGTCATCCTGATAGGACGGAGTTTTAATGATTAGAGTGGTGAGTAAGTCTACCATCTCCCCTTGTACTGGCCTCCGAAAGCTGGCTGCGGGATACTAGCGTGGTTCGCCCATGTGTGCGAGTCAAAAAAGTCATGGAGACTCGCTGTGGAGGATCTGCGGTAACTGCATTCAGTTTTATGGGGCTTACCGTAGGAAAGAACTGTGGGCTGCAGATCCAGAGGATGGTGATGTTGACAGGCGCAGCTCCACAATCTTGCAGCGCAGCTATGCCATGGAATAGTGTTGGAGTTCAATCTTCTGCAGGGACGTTTAGAGTATTCTGGCCCGGGCCATCTTGGGCTCTTCAGTCCAAGAGGTGCGCAGGCTGGATGGTTGCGGAAAGAGGGTGTTGCTGGTGTAGATGATGCTTGGTGCCCGGAGTTGCATTGAAAGCTGTTCTCTTCGATTCAAGCTTAGAGCCTCCGACCATCTGGGCGGATCCCGTGCCGAAACGTGTTCCACACATTTCAAACCTTACCCAGGTTCTAGCCAGACATGGGTTCAGGTCCGCACTCCATCCTTGTCGGATTTCAGGAAAACTGTTCGTGGACTTGCCCCAACTGCAAAAGCGGTATTCATGCTATACCCCAAAGTCCGATGTTGATTCTCGTTATTGCCACCCCATATCTGTTGGTATACATGCCATACCCCAAGATCTGACTTCTCGTCTTCTTGTTCCCGACCCCATCGATTACATCCCAGCCAGGACGCGACCTCGTGGGAATTGCGCCGACCGGGTCTGGAAAAACGCGTGAAGCTCACTTGGCTCCGGGTTCCCCCAAGCCCAATCAGCGACCCTAAACCCTAAACCCTAAATTGCCCTAAACCCTAAACCCCAAGCCTCCCTAAACGGCTCTCTTTAAAGAAGCGGTTGTCTCCTTAAACCTTGCAAAGCGGGAAGAGTTCTAGCCAGAGTAGTTAGTACCTTCATCAGGGGCCCTAGAATTCAGTAATCGATCTACATGGAGCCTGATTTCAAGAGGCTTCAACCCTGCCGATTTGCGCCTGGAAAGTGTGCTCATCCTTTGCGGCTTCTGGGTGTAAAGCCTATTCGGAACAGGGTCCACGAAATGGTGGCTTAGTGTAGGGTTCGTCTGTGAGTTGTTTAGTTGGGAGACCTCAAAAGGCGCTCCGCCACCTTGCTCGTAGATCTTATCTGAGGGCTTTGGGGTGCGAAGGCTCAGGACTGGACAGTCCACCACCGCAAGAGAGTTGAAAGCGGAGACGAGACCTACGACTTGTCCTGTTTCTGCAAATACCCTAGATTTTCTCGATCTGGAATTGGGACAACGAATTCTTTGGTCAACATTCACACGCGCGTGGCGGTTCGGAATGATGCGGTTAAATTTGGGTTTACCGCGGTACATCGGAGTGTAATGTTCAGTGTGGCGCGGTGCGGTACGGTGCGGTGCAGTACCTGCACCTGCCACCTCACCGCCATCCCCTGAGAGGGTGGAAGGGCAGATGAGGGTGAAGGGCAGTCCACCCCTCCTCCACCCCTCCAGGAGAAGGGTAAGAATGGTGGGTTGAAGGGGGTGTTGCCGGGGGCGGGTGCGGTTCCATGCTGCGCAGCACTACGCGAAGGTATTGTTGAAGCGCCCCTGGTTCATCCCAGAGCTGTCCTTGAATGCGTGGTTCGCGCTCGAGATACTAGCGTAAGCTGCCAGGACTATCAAGGACTTGGATGGCACAAAAAGTGAAGGATGATGCCACCCCAACAATATTAGGGTCTCAACATTCTGTCAAGTTGACAAGCTGGTAGAGTCATACAGCCTGGAAAGAGCAAAGCAGTCTGAAGGGTCAGTCAGTTGGTTGGCGGATCTTTCGCATGCCCTGAAGTAAGGATGGCGTACATTCTGCCTCTTCTTGCGGATGGACTTTGCAAAGCCAAGGTCCCAGCACACAGGCGGCTTCAAGTGTTGTTCTTGCAGTGTACTAAGCTACAGAACCTTCTGAACGTGCGGAATTCCGAAAGCAGCCAAGCAACCCAAGCAAACCAACTAAGGCACGATGCCCCGCTCCGACTACGATAGAATCGCTCTTCCTGCGTTTTTGCGGGATGTTTCCAAGGTCCCTTGCAAGCTTCTTCAGGTGTTCCGTGTGCTTATATTCGGGTTTAGGATTTCTGTAACGCGTTGAGTCTCGGTACATTGGCATTCCGGTATATAGCTGGGTTCCAAGACTCTAGTTACTCTAGTTGAGTCTGCCAGCCGACTTAGGCCTCAGATGGCCTCAGCTTGAAGCTACCGCGAATGGCTCTGTTGCAGGTCCTTCGAGCCATCTGATAGCAAGCCTGGCTCTTACGGATTAGATGAGTGTACTCATGCCTCCTTACAACAGTCGTAACGAGCCAAGTTCGCATCAAGTTTTCGAGTCTGCCCGAACGTGTGGATTTGAACCCGAGAAGCGCGTTTTCACTGGCGACTTTGCTTGGTCTCGCCTGCTAGGTTATATGATGTTATATGCTAGATGGCTAGATGTTGTGAAGATGTCGGCTGTTCATCCATGAAGACAAGTTCCTTGAGACGTCACGGGCGTACCGGAAGGCTGCGACTCGTGAAGGATCGTTGTGTGCAGGTTACCGGATTTCCGGATGAGTGCATGACCATCTTTGCTGTTCGCATGTGTGTGGGCACCTGCAAATGGCACATGCGTGTATGTCTCAATGAATGCGCATGCATGGGTGGCAGGTTCATGGTGTATTAGTAATCAGTTCACACATGCATGACCTTGCATGCACCGAGACAGAGGGACTTTCTCCGTGAACGGACCTGCACTGTTCTGCTAAGCTCAAGGCTTCTCCTGCGGGCTCAGGGGCACCTAGAACCCTATGTAAACCGTAAAAAGGAACCCTTATACAGGAACCCTAAACCCTAAACTAAATCCTAAGGAAGCTGAATCTGCAAGCTTTCGTGGGTATTCTCTTGGCCTGACGCTTCTGCGCTAAGTGACAAAGTCCTGGCTCGACTCCGCCGTTTGGACAGCGAGGGGAAGTACGACGATCTCCAGCAGGCCAAAGGCTATAGTCTTGCCTGACAGTTTGTCATATGAGATATAATATATAATATATGATATATAACATATAATATATAGTATATAATATAGAATATATAATATATACTATATAATATAATATAATATAATATATATATAATATAGAGAGAGAGAGAGAGAGAGAGAGAGCAAGTCTTTGTTTGCTTTGTTCTGAAGGCTGCAGGCCAGGGGAGGGACTCGCTAGAAGTTGCGCGGGTGGTGCCACGGGCCCAAGTCTAGGTTGGGTGGACGGAAGGTTAGGAGTAACTCCTCGCCGCTATGATGTCTGCAAGTGGCCATGATTCACGCGACGTCGACGAAGACAAGATGCCGACCGACCGCGAGAATCAAAGGAGTCCTTACAATCTTCAGGGCGACCCCATAGCCAGCCCACCGGGCTCACCGGGCACCCTCTACTGCACGGCCTCCGGCGTTTCGGAAGCAAACTCCGACAAGAATAAGTATCGACCCTCAGTGATTGCCGGAGATTTCATCAAAGTAGACACTGGGGCATCGGATGCTGATGTGCAGGCTCAAAGGTCTGCTACTTCAAGGCTGCAAGGAGCTGCGACACGGGTTCTGGCGAACCACTGTATCGGAAACCTTATGGCTTGCGTCGTCGTAGTTGATGCACTGTGCACTTGGATCGACATTGATGCTCGTGCAGCCGGCATATCGGCACCGACGTTCGTTGAAGTCTTTGCTGACACTGCTTTGGCCCTCTACAGCCTCGAATTTTTGCTGCGATTCGTAGGCAAAGGTCTGAGGGGCATGGTCTCAGACTGGCTTGCAGTTCTCGATATTGTAGTAGTCATGTGTGGCTATGCAGAGATCCTGTTGAAGGCAATGGCTCCTGCTGACCTGGTGGCAAGGCTTAGCGTCATGCGCGCGCTACGCTTGGCACGTATTGTCCGCTTGCTGCAGTTTTTCAGGAGGATCCGGGCCTTACGGGAGCTGCAGAAGTTGGTGACGATGATGGCGACATGCCTTCGAACTTTAGCTTGGTCGTTCCTACTTTGCTTCGTTATCATGACTATCTGGGCCATGTTGCTGGTGGAGATAGTGTACCCCATCGTACAGGACATGATGACAGAGGGTGATGCGACAATTCTGGACTGTGCATACTGTCAGATCTCGACGAGCTCTGTCATGGAGGCGACCTTGCTGCTCTTCAAGACCGTCATCGCCGGAGACAGCTGGGGAAGGCTGGCTGTCCCGATCATACAGCGGAGTCCAGCAACGGCCATCATTTTTGTCGGCTCACTTTTGTCCTTGGTCTTCGGTGTTTTGAACATCATCGTTGCTGTGGTTGTCGACACATTTGCTGAAGCCAGACAGAATGACATCTTGAGCTTGGCAGAGGAAATGGAACACGACATTGAGAAGGACCGGGAATCCCTGCAGAAGCTGTTTGACAGGATTGACGGAGACGGCAGTGGGGAGCTAACACTCCAGGAGTTGATTCAGGGCGCTCGTCGTGACCCAGTTTTCCAAAGCCGGTTGCGAGTCATGGACATTGATGAGAATGACTTGCAGCAGCTGTTCCGCATGATCGATGTGGACGGAAGTGGCACCATCGAAGTGGCAGAGTTCATTGGCCCTTTGAGTCGTTGGGTTCATGATTCCAAGACAGCACCTAGGTTCATTAAGTATAACATGCTGCAGACGATGCAGATGCAAGAAGACTTGTACAGCCTGTCCAAGACATGCTTTGGTCATCTTTCAGAGAGAATCGATACAGTCGTGGCGAAGATGAGCATGCAAAAGGCAGAGCCCGGCTTGGTGGCGCAAGGCTGTTCTGAAGAGCAGCAAATTGAGCAGCCGAAAGCCAGCAAAAAGCTGGAAGCACTCTGCCAGGAGCATGTCGCCCCTACCCCGCCCGAAGCGACTACATCTGCATTTCCCAGCCACCAGAGTGAGCACAAGGGTGAGATGTGGCAGAAGGCCTTGGGCAAGGATGGAGCCGAAGTCGGGGCCTTGCTTGAAGCTCTCATCGTGAAGGTCGAAGTGGGGATGATAGAAATGGAGAGCAGATTGAAGCGAGCAATGGCTGGCCTTCCACCCGATGGGTCTCCGCTGCGTTCAATTCCCAAAGACACGACACCCACCGGTTCGATCGGCTCGGGAGATGTAAGGGCGCGTGCTGATCTCTTCCGGTCCGTGTACGGTGATTCCAATCGTCGGACATCAAGAAGAGCTGTCGCCGCTTCAGCCACATTCGGTCAGTTGGCATATGCTGAAGGCACGGCATCACGAAACATCAAAACTTCAGGGGAGTTTGGCTTGCCGGGCTTGCCACGCTTCCTGGTTTAGTAATGCGCTGCTGCTTCAAGAGCAGTGGGTTTCACAGCGATTGGGCCAAACATGCATGTTTGGCCCAACCCATATCCTCTAGACTCTAGTCATGAGGTGTAGTCAGGGGAGAGTCGGACCACTCCCATCACCGAGCAACGGAATCTCAGCTCGGCGTGAAAACTCCGCATGCCACAGGCACGAGGTCTCTCGAAATCTCCTGAAGCTTGTACCGGAAAGGTGCTAAATAGGACAAGCGCGGTGCTTGCAGGCGATGAAAACCGTTGCCCGCAAAGCTGCAGATGGCTCGAAAGACCAGGCACAACGGCATGGTGAGAGGGTTTCCGAATAAGTTCAAACAGTAATTGCTGCGCCGTCGTAGTACGGGGGGATGTTGAAGGTGAAGCCGCTGCTTGATTTGCTAGCTGACACAGGGGAATAACCAACGGCGAAAGTGTTCCTTTTTGTGTTGTTTGCGTTGGCGCGTGTTTGCAAGGCCATGCATGTTTCTGCATTGCCCCAATTCCAGCGTGCAGGTCTGGGCTGGCTTCTTGGAACAGACCCAAACACGTGAAAACATACGCAAAATGCCGGCGGGCAAAGCAATCAAGCAGATCTACTCATGTTCTAGGATTGCTCACCTGATGTGCAGCCTTTGATGCATATTTCCGTTGCGACGCGCCCACATTGGGGTGACGTGTAACCTTTCTCTCGGCGTGGAACTTGGTAAACGTGTCCCTGGTATGAGAGGGCTTATGAATCAAGTCTTTAGGCCGACCCGTCCTACGTGCTGCTACCACTCACCACGACTACTGCTGCTGCTGCTGCTGCTGCTACAACAACTACTACTACTACTACTACTACTACTACTACTAGCTTCTACTGCCTCTACTGCTACTACTGCTACTACTGCTGCTGCCGCTACTGCTGCTACTACTACTACTACTACTACTGCTACTGCTACTGCTACTGCTACTGCTACTACTGCTACTACTACTACCACCTACTAACTACTACTAACTACTACTGAACTGCTACTAACTACTACTAACTACTGCTGGCTACTGCCTTCCTTCTACTACTACTACTACTACTACTACTACTACAACTACTACTACTACTACTACTGCTACTGCTACTGCTACTGCTACTGCCACTGCGACGGCTACTGTTACTGCTACTGTTACTGTGTTGATGTCTGAGACCTCCCCTGCCTTTTGTAAAGACTGCATGAGTGGAGCTTGTGCATATGTTCTTGGACACCTTGTGTATGTTGTCTGCTCAGACGGATGACAGCTGAAGCCTTGAAGAGTAGGCCAAAGCAGCAACTTCGAAGCATCTAGCCTAGGGCTTGAACATGCTGTGCACAGATGCGCATGTTTCGACAGATGCCACACTTCGTTGTTGAGAAAAAGATTTGAATTCGACCGCGCCTTTTTGCCATGGTATAGGCCCTGAACTGTGAAGCCACGCTTTTTACACGTAAGAGGAGGTTACAATCACCTTCGAGACCTTCACAGGTTATGAGCGCCCAACCCTCGGTGCCGACTCCGCCGGCTTTGGAAGGAGAGACGGCAGGGCCTCGCTATGAACAGGGGCAAGATGGCGCGCAAGGACAGGCGGCTGCAAGGGACACCAATGAAGGTGAAGTCCGACGAGCCCAGCCACAGCTGAACGGCGTGGATCCTCGGAGGTTGGATGCTACTCGTGAAGAGCCGCGAATCGCGGAACCACGGGCAGCAGGGCCAACCGATGAGGGTCACGCGCGTGAGAGCCCAGGGCGTGGAGGAGGACTGCAGGCGAGAAGAGGAGCCGATGATGCCCCTCAAGGCCAACTTCAGGTGGATCCAGCTGCAGTGCTAAGCCCTGTCAGTAGCACAGGGTATGAGTCGTTACCTACTCGGCCGCCCTCGCCTATGAGAAGGGAGCAAAGACCCCAGGGTGGGCAACCGCAAGAGGCCGAACGCACGGTGGCGATGGAATATATACAGCAAGAGGAAGGCCAGCCGGTGGTGCGCTGGGTAGCACGCTTGACGGAGTTTTTACGATCGTCGACGAGGGCGAACGGATTTCAGGGTAGGGTTCTAGAGGGTTTGGGGTTTGGTTCAACAACCACCCAGCACCAGTCGGATCTACCAACACTCCGCCAGCAGCAGAGCTACCAGCGTACACAGCAACAGCTAGCCTTTCAGCAGCAAGCACAGCAACAGCTAGCCCTTCAGCAGCGAGCACAACAACAGCTGATGCTACAGCAACAAGCAGCGGCAGCAGCTGGACCTTCGCCGAGACCGTCTTTGAGAGTGCATGATGAGCGAGGGTACTCAATGGAGGCAATTCCCAAACCTCCCCCGTTACCAGTTGGAAGGATGGCGACTTCACCGATGACGGCGAGATCACCTTCGCCACCCCCTCCGCCTCCTCCGGTTGAGGTGGGAGGATCCCCATGGTCACTCGGAGGACAATCGTATGAGGTGCCTCCGCCGACGATGCCACCTACAGCCTTATTTTCTCAGGAGCAGCTGTCAAGGCTGGGACGTTTTGAGCGTGAAGCCCCGTTGCTTTACCGACCTCCCAGCTCAACTTCCTCTGAGGAGATCCAAGCTGAAGTGCAGCGCCAGCTCAGATGCTTTGTGGAGAGACATGACGGTGAAGCCCAGCGCTTGCGAGATGAGGTGGAGCGCTTACAAATGGAGTGCGAACGGCTGCAGAGGGGTGCTGCGAGTGCCTCGCATGGAGATCGGGCTACAATGGGGCACCAAACAGTACCTCCAGGAGATC